AAACCCTGTCTGGGAAAAAAAAAAAGACAAGACACAAACACTTATTCTTCATGGCTAACAAAGGCAGGTAAGAGCAGTAGAGCTAGCCATTCAGGGCACAGACTTGCAGAGTCAGGCCAGACTCCTGCTTGGGACATCAGGGAAGAGCATGCCCATGTAGCTGTATGGAGCAGCCCTTACGGCTCTGGGGACGTGTAAACACAATCACACCAGGTCACCTCGGCCACAGAGCACACAGTCTTCTATGTAGTTGTATGTATGGCAGTGTGAGAAGTCATTTTTGTTTAAGGATAAATTGGCCCCTCCCAAGGATCTGGGAGTTCATGGCCTTTTTTTTTTTTTTTTTTCATCTTCAATGGTTCATTTTGTTCTTGCTAAGTTTGATATCAAAACCCTCCCAAACAAAGGGCCCATTGATTCAGTGGGTGTCCAGGACCATCATGGAAGAGGATTTTCTGTGTGTCCCCAATCCCAAAGAAGAACTTGAGGAAACTGCGAGATGGAAGAAATGCAGGATTCTGAGGGAAGCCGTCTGTTCTTGTCTCCTTTTTGAAACTTGGAAAAAGCCACCAAGTGCATGCCTAGGAGTGGAAGATCTTTTTGGTGTGGGACAGAGGCTTGGCGGCAGATGGAAGCTGGGGTTAGAGAGGAGGTGGCCTGAGACACAGACCTGAGACCATGGTGAAGAGGAGGGACTAGGAGATAGAAAAGTGGGCCTGCATCTGGTGGTCTATGACAGGGAAAGGAAAAAGGTGGGGTTATAGGAGTGCCTTCACCTAAGGTCTGACTTCTTAGGAGTGACATCTCTAAGATGGGGTGCATGGACGCCAGAGCTGGACTGCGGACAAATGATTAGGGTAATAACACAGTAACCACAAAGGGATCCTGGTGACATCCACAAGGGATCTAGAAACCTGGATGTCGGATCAGTCAAGATGTTCTGAGGGACCTAGAAAAGCACAGTGATATAGGCAGGGTGGAGGAGCTTCTGCTGCTCTAGGTGTAGACAGAGATTCTGGGACCCCACTGAAGGAAAGACTGAAGACTGGGAGAAACTGGCCTAGCAAGTTCCTCAGGCAGAGGCTGATGGAATATTCCAGAACTACCCGTAGAGTCAGAGCTGGGACCAAAACTGCAAATGTTCTGCTCTAGAGATGCTTGTATTTAAGGGCAGAGCACAGACAATAAACAGCCAATAAAGTGTGAGGTTGAGAGTGTGGCTCGGGTTAGACACCTGCGTAGAAGCCACCAGTGAGGTTCTAGGGTTATGGCTTTGTAATAAAGTCCTCACGTAGAATCCAGCAGTGGAGGGCTGGAGCTATGGCTAAGCTGTAGAGCATTTGCCTGGATGTCTGCGTCTCCTGCATCGCCATTTATGCTAATTATTCTCCTAAGGGATATTCCATTATCACCCCTGTGATGTGGAGTTTCACAGCCCTACCTTCCAATTGGGAAAGTTAGGACTGAGCTGGGTTTGAAGATGTGTAGTCGGGAATTAGGATAACTGTGCATTGGATGAGTCAGACTAGTACCGTTTCTTGGAGGTTACACAGATGATAATGTCTCTGTATACACACCATAAGTTTATAATGTGAGTATAGGTTGGATATCCTTAGCACAGTAATCTGAAAGCTGAACTGTTTCTAAGCTAGCTGTGGCTCATCACTCCAATGTCAGGGCAGTGGATGAAGCAGAGAGGTCAAGAGTTGAGAGCACCTTTGACTACAAAGTGGAAAAGAATTTTTAAAGGCTAGGCATGTAGCTCAGTTGGTAGAGTACTTGCCTGTTATATACAAGTCATGGCTTTTATTCCCAGACCCTAGTATACTTCTGGGTCCCACATGTCTGTGATCTCAGCACTCAGTGGAGGCAGGAGGATCTTCCTCGGTTACATTGTAAGTTTGAAGCCAGCCCAGGATACAAGAGACCCTGTCTTAAAGAAAAATAATTATCCAGGTGTGGCAGTGGCTCGGACAATAAACAGCCACATTTTGGGATGTGTGTATTGCCATCCCAAAATGCCAGTATTTGGGAGGCTGAGGCAGTAGGGTTGAAGGAGCCTAGGTTACATACACAGAATAAAAAAACAGACAAAATAAAACAGTGACATACGATGGTCCGCGAGGCCTGCCAGTGTGTAAAGTGTTCAAATGAAGGGCTGTTCCTACAGATAACAGGAAATGTGAACTCCACACTTCAGATCAGTGTAATAGTGTTCCAACACCAATTGCCTTTGTTCCTAGTTACTGTAACAAGTATTTGGACAGCTGAGAATGAAAGAGATTCCATCGCCCATAGCACTCAATCCTGCCCCCACATCTTTTTTTGGGGGGTGGGGGGTGAGGTTGATACAATTTCTCTGTGTAGCTTTGGAGCCTGTCCTGGAACTCACTTTGTAGACCAGGCTAGCCTTGAACTCACAGAGATCTACCTGCCTCTGCCTTCTGAGTGTTGGGATTAAAGGAATACACCATCACCGCCCATGTCTTTATGGTAGACACTGCCACCATTGCTGTTTTATGCATGGGAAAACTGAGGACCAGAGAGTTGTCACCTGATCAACCTTAAATGTGGAGGCAGACTTATGATCTGTGGATAGATGTAGCTCAGTGTGAAACAGATGTACTCAACAGCTGTACATGCCAGGACTGAAATCCAGTGTCAGAGCTCCTAACACATGCCCCTCACCAGGGAAACTGCAGCACCTTTTGTACCATTATGGTTCAGCTGGCATATTGCATGTTCCATTTACCCTGTTTAAGATATTTCTCTTTACTCCTGACCCCATGTGTGCAAGATGTATAAACCTGTCCTACCCTTGTCCACCTCACAGGTCTCTGTGGTGCACTTGATATGTCGCACCCACTGGCACCCTCCTGTGAGTCATTGATTTGGCTCCTAGATGTATCTTGGGTAAGGCCTTCAGGATCCAGGCTCTCATTGAGGGCTCTACTCTGACTGTATCCTCCTTACGGTACTACCATCTCTAGATCATATTCCTGCTCTTGTGGTTAGGAGAATGACCTCAGATTGTTCATTTTGAACTAGCTTCTTGGCTTTGGTGCTGTTCTCTTTGTAGACAACAATGTACCATCTTTTCATTAATACCTTCAATTCTTTGACAGTTTCATACACATGTATATTTTGGTCATCGCCCTCATTGCTGTGACAGAATACTTGACAATCACCTTAATGGTGAAAACGTTTATTCTGGATTACTGTTTTAGAGTAGTCCAGTGGTTCTCAACCTGTGGGGCATGACCTCTTTGGGATCCTTTCACGAGGGTCGCCTAAGGCTATTGGAACACACAGATGTTCACATGACAATTTACAGCAGTAGCAAAATTACAGTTACAAAGTAGCAACAAAAATAATTCTATGGTTGGGGTCACCACAGCATGAGGAACTGTATTAAAGGGTCGCAGCATTAGGAAGATTGAGAACCACTGGTGTACTGTGACAGGAAGACACAGCAGGAGCCTGAGGTGGCTGATCACATTGCATACACAGTCCAGAAGCAGAGAGAGGTGAATGCGGGTGTGTTTAGCTTTCTCCTTTTGATTCCATCTGGGACCCCAGCCCATGAAATGGTACCAGCCACATACAGAGTGGGTTTTCCTACCCTTGACAGGCCCAGAGGTTTGTTTCCATGGTGATTCTTAATCCTGTGAAATTGACAATAAAGATGAACTATCGTACGAGTCTAAGGTGCACCTAAATGACATCATTTTAACCCCTCTGAGAACGTTGTCTCATTCTTCCAGGCTGCACTGGGGATTAGGATTTCACATATGAGTGGGGTGGGGTGGACACTGTCAGAACCATTTCCACCAGAAGGCCTGCCGACCTGGTTGCTGGTCTCTGGTGAGCTCCACCTCATGATCTGGAGGGTACTGTGGTGGTAAGAATAGAACATGAAAGAGTGGAGGGGTAGAAATGAATGGTGGTTGGGGAAGGACTGGGAAATGCTCTGTTTAGGGGGAGTGCTGGTCACTGACCTGCTAAGTGCTGCCTTATGGCCCTGTGGGTTATGTTTTCTAGCTTTGTACATTTTTTTAAAAGGATGCATTTTTGTGACTGTTTTGTGTGTTGGCAATCAGTTCATTTAGTTATATTTTAAGATTTATTTTATTTTTAATTATATGGATGGGGGCTGGGCTGTTGGTGCATGTGAGTGCAGAAGCAGGAGCCTTTGAACACCTGAAGAGGACATCAGATGACCTGACGTTGGAGTTACAGATGGTTGTGAAACTCCTAACATGGGTGATGGGAAATAAAATTGGATCTTCTGCAAGACATTGGCTTAACTGCAGAGCCATCTCTTCAGCTCCCCCTGCCCCACGCCCTTTTTTCATTTTTTAAATTTTTTAGACAGGATTTCTTTGTGTAGCCTTGGCTGTCCTGGAACTCACTTTGTAGACCAGGCTGGCTTTGAACTCAGAGATCCTCCTGCCATTGCCTCCTAATTGCTGGGATTCAAGGCATGTAACACCACCTCCCCGCTGAGATATCAAACTTTTTTTTTTTTTTGGTTTATCCAGACAGGGTTTCTCTGTGTAGTTTTAGTGCTTGCCCTGGATCTCACTCTGTAGACCAGGCTGGCCTTGAACTCACAGAGATCAGCCTGGATCTGCCTCCTGAGTGCTGGGATTAAAGGTGTGCGGCGCCATCGGCGCCTGGCAAATATATCAAAATTTTGTATGACTGTCCCAAAGATATATATTGGTAACCAGTTCATATATAGAAAAAGAAACAAGCCAGCAATCACTGTGCACACCTTTATAACCCCAACACTTGGGAGGCAGAGGCAGGTGGATCTCCAAGTTCAAGGCCCACCCAACTGGTCTATAAAGTGAGTTCTAGGATAACCAGGGCTACACAGAGAAACTCTATCTTGAAAAAAGGAAAGAAAGAAGAGGAAAAGGAACACTTTCCTGTCTGATTTTTATCATAGCCAGGTGATGCATTTGGGTCTAAGGCCACTGCTCGTGACCTACAGTTCCTGCTGGACTCTAGAATTCACTCAACATACACTTACTGAGCTGTTTTGTAAGACCTAGGGCCCTCCTGTGTGTTTCAGAGAATGCTGTATTCAAAAGGGGGAAGCTTGGGGAACATTGAGAAGAGAGGGTTGAAACATGAAGAGTCAGAGGTTGGGGAGGACTAGACAAAGTGGTGTGTTCTGGACATGACAGGACCAATGTCCTCCTGAGCTCACAACAGCTGTGGTTGCCTGCACAAGATCAAGTCGGTCAACATTCCAGTGCCGTGGGGGAGGGGCTCACAAGCCTCCACCCCAAACGGAGGTGCTACTGATAGGGAGGAGGGAGAGCCAGTGTTTTCAAAGGTACATGCAGGCCCTGGTAGGTTGGTAGGTTCACTGTGCTCCAGTCCATGCATGTATGAAATTCTCAGAGAACAAAAATCATTAATTAAAAACATACCCAAAAGGAGCCAGGTGTGGTTGTGTGTACCGTTAATCCCAACACTGGGGAGGCGGAAGTAGGCAGATCTCTTGAGTTCAAGGCCTCCTTGGTCTACATGGAGAGGTCTAGGCTAGCCTGGAACACAGTGAGCCACTTTTTTTAAATCAATCAATCAATCAATTAATCTATCCTCTCTCTCTCTCTCTCTCTCTCTCTCTCTCTCTCTCTCTCTCTCCTCTCTCTCCTCTCTCTCCTCTCTCTCCTCTCTCTCTCTTTATATTTAACCTTATTTTTATATGCATTGGTGTGAAGGTGTCAGATCCCCTGGAACTGGAGTTACAGTTATGAGCTGCCATGTGGGTGCTGGAAATTGAACCTGGGTCCTCTGGAAGAGCAGCCAGTGGTCTTAACAAAACAAAATACTAATAACATGGGTTTATGCTATTACCATATGTAAACATCTAATTTACACACCTAATTTACATACACAATCTAATTGGCATATGTGTAATTGCAAACTGGTGAAGCCTATGTGCACTGTGACTGTGAATGAGGCACAATGAGAGAGAAAAGTAAGGGACTTTAGTAAGGATTTGGGGTAATCAAACCCTTGCAGTGACACATGAGATGGTAAGATAAGTAGAATAATGGAGAGCCGGGCAAAGATGTTTATAAACAAATTAACGGTGCCAGGTAACCTGGAGATTGAAAGCGGACAAGAGCAGCTGTAAGAGAGGAAGAGGAGACAGCCATCACTGTAGGGCTTAGTAAGCCTTGCAGAAGAGTTGATCATTATCCTCCCCTTCCCACTAAGATATAAATGTATGGTGCTCTCAGGAGGCAGAAAGAATACCTTGTAGAAGTTTGCCAGCCTTCGCTTTGGACCTGTGGGAGGCAGAAACACAGCATGTGCTTATGGGAGAGACAGCAAGTTCTGACTATTCAGCCATAGGGAAAGCACTGTTAGTATATCCACCCTGCTTCATCCTCCAGGGTCCTTTAAGGCTGCTTTCCCTAGTGCTGCAGCAAAAATGAAGAGGACCATTCATCACCTTAAAAAAGGTAAACCAGCCTCCACCTCCAAGCCCTGCAGACACACAATACACCACACACACTCTGAACCCAGCCTAAGCCCTGGGATCAGTGGATTTTCTATCCCAGGACAGATCATGTGACAGACAGTCCTACCCCATATCTGCCTAGGCCTCTTCTGGGATCTGCTTTTCTCCCTGTGCTCAAAAGCATCCTCTCAAGTTGGTGCTTCTCTAACTAGGCCTACTAATTAGGTGCTCACTCCTTGAAGGATTGCCTGAGATCTACTCCCACCCCCAGGGGTAATTAATACCCCAAGGTTGATTTCTCCTCAAGTCTCCTGTGTCCTCGGTCTCCCCTTCCCCCATTTCCCTTTACATATAGATGGTTAGCTGCAAGCCTTAAACATGAAGTGCTGTGAACTTGGCCCTGCCCCGTAGGAACTATCTGCTCTGTTATCCCTTCCAAGTGCTCTATTAGTAGCCTAGGCCTGTTTTTCCAGAGGAGAGGATTCCCTGCCTGTAATATACCTTCTGGAGAGGCTTTAGGTAGGTCTGTCAACTACCTGGTTCCTAATGCCTCTTTTCTCTCCACAGTCCAGGACTGCATCCTTCCTTGTGGTAAGGACTTAGTCCCAAACCTAAAACAGCAGGGGAAGCTGGGGTTGAAATCTGGAACTTAAGATGGAGACCATGAGTAGGCCTTAGATCCAAAGGAAACCAATAGGAAAGTGCATAAACTAGGTATTAAAAAACTTCATAGAAGCAGGTACTGCTGGTGAAGGCCTGTCATCCTAGCTACTCCAGAGGCCTAGACAAGAAGATCACACATCCAAGGCCAGCCTGGGCTACACTGAGTTAGGCTATGCGGGACAACTTAGGGGGACCCCCGTCTCAAAACAAAATTCTAAAGAGAATTCTGAAGGTATATATGTACATACAAATATTTATACACACACACACACACATGCGCGCGCGCGTATAAACATATATATACACACGTATATATATACGTGTATATATAAGCTATTCGTGTATGTATAAGGTATATATATATATAGCTTAGCAGTGGAGCACTTGTTTAGAATCTCCCAGCCAGGGGCTGGGGGCGTGCATCAGTGGTAGGTGCCCTGCCTAGACTCCTGGGGGGTTCTGGGTTCTTAGTGGTTGACTTTACTAGAATTCCCAAGTGGGGACTGGGAGCATGGTACAGTGTTCGAGAGTTTAGCTAGCATACATAATCCCTAGGTTCCATTCCCAGTGGTTATAACACACACACACACACACACACCAGGTAAATGCTGTTTAGAAAACGGGCTAAACAAGCCAGTAAGTGGCCCAGGAGCCGACTGGACAGACTGATCTAAACAATGCAGAAAAGGTGGGATCTATCTTCTATCTCCCCAGTAGAACCCTGGGATTCCCCATAGATTCAAGAAGGTTCGGAAACTTGGTCAGGAGACCGCGGGGCCGGGGTGGGGGGTGGGGGGAACGACACGAGAGGAGCCCAACACTCCTGGTCTCGGCTCACAGGCGTCCAGGAGGCCACTAGGCGTTTCCACTGCTGGGGCTGCTTCTCCACAATCTGTGACCTCCCTCTAGACTGTCCAGGTGAGGGGGCGGCGCCGGGATGCCAGGGAAAAAGGGCGAGGCTTGTGCAGGCCTACCAGGATCACCTTGCCTCTCTCCAGTTCAAGACGTGACGGTGAAGCGAGGGGATCAGGCTTTGTTTTCTTGTATCGTGGGGTTCCAATTGCCAGAATCGGAGCTCACTTACTCCTGGAAATTCGCGGCAGGAGGTGTGAGTCGAAACAGGGCCAGCTGGCGGGTTTAGGGGGTCGGCTCTGCTCCAGGGAAAGAGGTGGCTAAGTTCAGAGTAGTGGGCGTAGGCTTGGGTTTAGTGTGAGAGGAGGGTCGGGGACCTAGGGAGAGACCAAGGTTAAGTATATGGAAGACCAGTGTTTAGATGTGCATTATGAGTCAGGCTTTAAGGGATGCCGGGAAGGGTTGCTTAGGGCAGCCAAAAGAGTCAGGCTTGTGAGCTGAGTCAGGTCTGGGAGGGGCTTGCCGTTCTGGCTGAGTCTCGGTGCGTTTGAACTCCTCCATCTCGCAGCTCCGGACTCAGGACGTGTCCTACTTCCGTGATGTGCCAGGCGCCCACGGGTACCTGGCGCGAATCGGGCCAGTGCAACCCACGCACCGGGGGACCTTCTCCTGCGTGATCCTGCACGACCAGCGCCCCCTGGCGCGGCTCTACTTCTATCTGAACGGTGCGGGCGGGGCGAGGATGTGAGGTGGGGCCAAGGGCGGGGCTCCGCCCCCTAACTTGCACGTCCCGGCAGTGACTGGCCCTCCTCCTCCTGGGGAGACTGAGCTCCAGGTCACGTTCCGGGAAGTGATGAATTGGACGCCGCGGGAGGCGGAAACGATCGAGCCCTGGAGGCCCGGCCTAAGCGAACTGCTTGCTCGGCCCTCGGCTCTGACGCCTGGCATCCTGTTCCTGATCGCGGCAATCGCTGCGCTCGTGTCTGCTAGTGTCACTGTGCTAGTGTGGTGAGTGCCAGCTTCCACCCTCCCCTCCCCCAGCTCCTCTTGTCCACGCCGCAGGCCTCCGCCTCACGACCCCAGGGGTCCAGGCTTCCTTCGGTCCTCAGTACAGACCCCAGCCTCCTCCCTCAGTGGTACTCAGGTCTTCTCTCAGACCTAGGAGTCTAGTCCCCACCCCCTAAGACCTAGGAGTCCTAACCCTTTTTTCTGAGATCCAAGAGTCCAGGTCCTAGCCCTTCTTGCTCAGGCTGAGAAATCCAGGTCTCTGTCCTTATGTCTCATAACCTCATATGGCCCTGACACCAGGCCTTCCTGCAGACTCTAGGTCTAGGTCTAGGCTCCTTGCACTTTGAAACCCAAATGTGTTTCTGTCCCTGGGCCCTCCTAAAGCACACATTCCATTGTTTTCCCAGGGTGTTTTTTCGATGGTACGTAAGTGGCGACTAACAAGGGTATCTGTCCTGATCTGACATTCATCCCTGAAATAAAGAATGTATTTCAGTTAGTTCTGGATTCTCTCTCTCTTTTTTTGACAAAGTCACTCTTACCTACAGAGGAAGGCAGAGAAAATACCCCCCAAATGCTTAGGTGTATGGACCCATGTGAACAGGACACAAGCTATCGGTTTGTGAGGCTCTTCGTTGGCGTCCTTGGATTCCACCAGCTCAGACCCTTCTCCGTTCTCTCGAAGACTCCTTGACATTTCTATCCGTAGAAGATACTCTCAGAGTATATATGGTGCCCTTCTCCCCCCAACTCCCTCAAAAAAAAAAAAAAAAAAGGCAAACAAGGCTTTCTGCTTTTAAGAAAAATCACCTGTAGCCTTCCAGCAGTTTAATGCAGAAACCGCTGGGATGACAGCCTTAGCTCCACCCTGGGGGATTCTAGGCAGGAGCCCTACTACTGAGCCACACCCCAGCTACTTGCTGGAATATTTTAGATAGGGCTCTACCACTGAGTTGCATCCTCAGCCCCGTCACTAAGCAATATCTCTAGCACTGGGGCTCGCCTCCGGCCCCTTACTGTGGATTTTAGACAGGTACTGTAGAGGTGAGTTACATGTTTAGTCTGGTTTCTTGCGATGTGTGGGTGTGGTGGGGTGCTTTTGTGTACATTCATGTGCATGTGGAGGCCAGAGGTCAGCCTCAAGTGTCATTCCGCAGGCACGATCCACTGTGTTTCTCAACAGCTAGGACTTGCCTGATGAGGCTAGCTGGCCAGCAAGTCCTAAGAATCGACATGTCACTACCTTACCAGCCCTGCAATTACAACTGCATGCTCTTAACACCCGAGTTCTGGGGCTTGTACTCAGATCCCCACTAGTTTCCAATCTAGTATTTTGTCACAGTGGGTTACTCCTCTGCCCTAAACCCATCAGTGGCTTCTGTTGTCACTGGAATCAAACCTATTTGTTAAAATTTCCAAAGCTCAACATTCTGTCCCATATTGGTCTTCCTGGCCTTGTGCCTACCAAGGAAGAGAGCTTCCCATCCTACCCTGCAGTTCCCTTTTCTGCCTGTGGTACCCATCACGATTCTCACCTCCCCCATGTCTTGGTACATGTTTCCTATTCACAATAATGTGTTTGTTTCCCTGCTTCTATCCTCATGACCTCCTTTTCTCTTATCCCTGCTGCCCCCTGCTCATTTCTACCATTACATCAGCCCAGGAAATACCCAGGACAACCATCCAAAACCAACACTGTTTTATTATATAGCTTCGATCCCCTCTCATGTCTTCCTTTTTCATTTCCGCTCAGGTGGCCTCAGCCTTGGTCTCCTGAACTTTGAGAGATGTGTTCCATGTCTGAACATTCACCAAGGCTCTTCCTCCATCTTGAAATGACTTCTCTTCGAACTTCATGACCTCACTTCCCGCCCGTTGCACAGGCACTCTCTCTGGCTAGTGCCTACTCCTTATGTTGTGTGTGTGTGTGTGTGTGGGTGTGTGTGGGTGTGTGTGGGTGTGTGTGTCTGTCCCTGTTCTATGTAGGCATGATAGAAGGCTAGTTTTTGAGATGCAGTCTCCTGTAGTCAAGGATCACCTAAAGCCCAGATAACCTTGAACTTTTGATCCTCTGGCCTCCACCTCTGAAGTGCTGGTAAGACTGGTGTGCACTGTTGGCCCCAGTTTTGTACAGTGCTGGAGGCAGAACGGAGTGCTCTGCGCCTGTTAGGTATGTACTCTGCCAACTAGCTATATACTCCTAGCCCTAGATGATTATTAAGCACCCCCTGGTCTTTTTCCCTCTCCAATGATGATAGGAAAGGCTGAGTCTTCTCATCTTCTAAACATGGCTTAGTCTTGCTAGTGACAATGTTGTATATCACTAGTGTCCTTCCTTCCATCTACCCTTCTTTCGCTTTTGTGCACATGTGTGTGGGTACACAGTACATGTGGAGGACAGTAGTTGATATCAAGGGTCTTCCTCAATTGATTTCCACTTTGTAATTTGAAACAAGGTCTCTGGATCTTGAAGACTAGGCTAGACAGGCCTGCCAGTACTCCTCAGGCACACTGCTGGCTCTGCCTCCCCGTAGTTGGGATTACATGTGCCAGTGTTCCTAGTCGATGGGCATCTGGGTTCACGTCCTCCTGCTTGCAAGCCAAGCACTTTCTGACTGAGCCATTCCCCAAACCTCTGTATTGCTTATGCCATGGGCAGTAGACAAGAATGAAGTAAAACACACAATATTTATGAGGGAAAGATAAGGGGGAGTTTTGGAACATTGAAGAACAGTGGCGGTTAGCTCTGCAGACTGACTGGGAAGGTGACATTTGAGGAAGGACTGGGAGGCTCAAGCTGCGTTTGTGTTTGTGAGCTCCGGTGCAGCAGGTGCAGGGATGTAGAAGAGGTTGAAGCAGAGTTTTTGGAAATGAACACACTGTGAGGTCAGAGAGCCTGGAGGGAAAGGGAAAGGCGGGCCAGGCTGTGCAGGATATTTCCCAGGGCAAGGTTTCAATTTTCCTCTGCCCTGAGCCACCGACAGTTTTCTGAGTGTGTTAGTTAATTTTCTGTTGCTAGGACAAAACATGGACAACAGCAACTTACAGAAGAAAGAGTTTGGTTTAGCCTACAGTTGCAGGGGGATAGGTCATGAGGACAGGGGATATATGGCAGCAGACAGATGAGAGATCACATCTCAAAATGTGCAGAGGAAGCCAAGGGAGCCAGCTGGGAGAGGGATGCGGCTATAGGAAGGCCATTGACAGCAACATGCGTCCTCCAGCAAGGCTCTACTCGCAAAGTTCCATAACGTCCCCCAAACAGCACCAACAACAGGGGAATAAGGAAATCAATATGTGTGAACGTATGGGGGACATTCCTCATTTGAATCACCACACTGAGCCATGGAAGGTCATACACTACACAGCTACTGTATCAGCTACTTCCCTGTTTCTATAGCCACAGTACCCGACAAAAACAAGAAAGGGCTGCTTTATTTTGGCTTGTGGTTTCAAATTTCTTAGGTTTTGGCAGGGTTGAGGAGCTCCATCCAAGGCAGTAGGAATGTGTGATCACAGGTTTGTGGCCTGGTAGCAAGTGGAGAGTTACAGGAATCAGGGGTCTGGCTAATAAATCTTTAGAGCCTATCTCCAGTGACCTATTTTGGTGGGCCACACACCTCATGAAAGGCTCCATAGTTTTCCCAAATGTTGAGATCTACTAGGGAGCAAGCAATACAAGCCTGTGGCTGGTGTTTCAAATTCAAGTCTTGGAGGTGTCACTCATTTTGAGGTGCTGTAGAAACCAGGTAAAAACCAAAGATCTAGGCCAAGGGTGAAGGGGAGTAACTCCCAGTCTAAGAGTTACGTTTCTTTTGCTGTGATAAAACACCAGGACCAAAAGCAACCTAAGGAAGCAAGTTATTTTAGCTTATGATTCCAGGCTAACTGGCAGTCCCTTATGGTGGGGAAAGCCTGGCAGCAGGCAGGGAAAGGCATGAAGGCAGGAACAGGAAGCTGGCTGATCATAGTTTCATCTACACATAGGCAGTGAAGAGAATAGAAAAAGCAGAGAAGCTAGAATCCCTCAAAGCCTGACCGAAAGGTTCCACCTCTTGAAGATTCCATAGCCTCCCGCAAACAGCACCAACTAAGGATTAAGTGTTCACATACACAGGAACATATCTCAGTTAAACCATAACTCCATTCTATCCAGAAGATGGACCCAGCAATTGATGGGAATGCAGAGTCTAAGAGACAAGAAGACCCCCAAGGAAAGCTCAGTAGCATTCTCTGTAATGGACCTGACCTAATGCTGGTCTGTCCAGAACTGTACCAGCTACCCACTGTCTGCAAGTGACTTGAAAGGGACAAGTCTTGCTGCATGTGTTTACAACTAGAGGTAACTATACTTAGTGCAGTACTTGCTCCAGGGCACCAGAAGTCACAGAGGCACGTATGTCTGGGACTTTCCTTCTTTTTGTCTGCATGTATGTCAGAGGTTGATGCTGGGCATCTCCTTCAATCAAACCTGCTAATATTTTTGAGGCAGAGTTTCTGACTGAACCTGGAACTCACCCACTTAACTAGACTTGCTGGCCTCCAGGTATCCCCACTTATCTCTACCTCCCCCAATCTGAAATTTCAGACATGCACTACTGCACCTGGGTTTTTACGTAGATTATGGAGGAGGGACTGAGGTCTCTGTGTGTAGGCAGCAAGCACTTTACCAACTGAAACACCTTCTTAATATTATTATTATTATTTGTTGAGAGTTTTATTTTGTAGCCAAAGCTGTCCTGGGACTCAGGATTTTCTTCATCCTCCCTAAATGCTGGGAGAATCTGTGTGACATCACACTCAATATGCAGGTACTCTTAACTATTTTTATTTGTTTTAATTTGAGAACAGGGTCTCCGTGTCTAACCTAGACTGGCTTAGAGCTTGGGGTCTTATCTTGGTTTCCAAAGTGCTTGGATTTTAGGTGTGTACTACCATGCCTGCCGCTTCTGGGGAGTCTTTTTAAATTTTTAAAATTAATTCATTTATTTCCATGGAGGCTAAAGTACAACCTACAGGGGTGGACTCTACTACTTTGTGGGTACTGGGGATTGAGGTCAGGATGCCAGACTTGACGGCAAGAGCCTTTCCCCACTAGGCCAGTGATTCTCAACTTGTAGGTTGCGACCCCTTTGGGGTTGAATGACCCTTTCCTAGGGGTCACATATCAGATATTTACATTTACATAACAGTAGCAAAATTACAGTTATGAAGTAGCAATGAAATAATTTTATGGTTAGATGCCACAACACAAGAAACTGTTTTAAAGGGTTGTAGCGTTAGGAAGGTTGAGAACCTCTGCATTAGGCCACCGTGCTGGTTTCTTAATTGCAGAACATAGTTGGTGGGTTGGCTAGGACTCTCTTGTGAACTTATCTGTATCTCTTTCCTTGCGAATTGGTAATGTACTTGGGTTTCTGACTGAATCAATGAGCTGGTGGACAGCTGTAGTGGTTACTCTGGCTTGAATCTGTGGCCCAGGATGATGCTATTGTGTTGGCTGAGACAGGGAGATGGATTAAGAGGAGGAAAGTTTGGAGCTGGGTGTGAGATGCCAGTTAACTATTAAGTGGAAACATCTCAGAAGCTGTTGCATACACTAGTCTAGAATTTAGACAATGTTTAGGAATTCCGTCTGGAGGTGGAGAGTGTAATTAGGGTACTTAGAGCCATAATGCTGAGTAACTAACAGGCCATGTGTAGGCAGATGAGAAAAGTGGTTCTCTAATGACTGCATGAGAAGGAACCCAAAGAAAGGCTTTGAAACGTTTTCGTATTTATATTGGGTGAGAGTATGACAATTTTATTATGCAAATGGGTGTGCTTGCCTGTCTGTGCATCTGGAGTCCAAGAGACAGTCTCAGATGTTCTGCTCTGTCACTTGCCATCTATTAATGTGAGGCCAACTTTCTCCCTGAATCTGGAGCTTGTATTTCCTTGGCTAAGTTGGACAAAGATAACCTTGAACTCCTGATCCTTCGACCTCCGAGTGCAGTGATTACGAGTACAGGGATCAAGGTCTGCACTAACATTCTTAGTTTATGCAGTGCTGGGTCAGAGTCAGTTTCATGCATGCTCAGAAGCACTGTAAGAGCTAAGCAACATCTTTAGCACAGAACCAGGAAAAAAAAAAAAAACTGAGGAGTGGGGGTTGCTGAGGCTCCTGTTTCTTCCTGACAAACATTCCATGCCAGGTTATGATGGCACATGCCTTGAATCCCAGCACTTAGGAAACTAAGGCAGAGGTAGGTGGATCTCTGAGCTCAAGGCCAGTTTGATCTACATAGTGAGTTCCAGACCATCCAGAGCTTCATAGAGAGACCCTGTCTCAGAAGCAAAAGAAAACAAATCAAACCAAAAAGAACAACAACAACAAAAAACCCCAATATGTACCCCTATACATACATGGGGCATGGAGGGGTGAGGAAAGCGGACAGACTGCAGAAGTTGCCACCTCAATGGGAGGCTCGTGGTTTTAGCCTTGGAGATATCATTAATGAACTTAATGACCAGTTTTGTGGAATGGGGGAGAGGTGAGGAGGGAGTGATGGTCATGTGATTGGTTTGGTTTTCCCAACAACAGGAGTTAACATTAGTCATTAGGAAAGTGGAAATGAAAACTACAAAGAGACCCAACCACAGCCACGAGGATAGCTTGTAATTAAAGGGTTACATAATAGGGTTGGCAAGAAGGCGGAGAGATCAAAACCCTCATCGCTTTTGCCAGCAATGAGGTAAAGCGGAGTTGCCTCTGTGGAGAAATCTGTGGTGTCTTCCCAGAATTAGGATCTCGAAAGCTGTCTTGGTGAGCAAAAGACTTGCAGTGAATCATGAGGACCTGAGTTCGGATCCCCAGAACCTATGTAAAATGGCACAAGACACTACTGATCTTCTGTATCCCAGCAAGATGAGAGATGGAGCCAGAAGAACCCCAAGATGCTTGTGGGCCACCAAGGCTTTAGATGTAGTGGCGAATTAGAGACCCTACCTCAAAGAAGATGGACAGCAAGGACTGGATGCTCAGGTGACTTGTCCTTTGACCCCCACCTGTGTGGACACAGTCACATACATGAGTATACACACAAAGATAACACAAAATTAAAGCAATGGCTGAGGCTGTAAGTGTAGCTGAGTTAGTGGTGCAATCGCCTAGCACATTTAAAGCCCCAGTTTCCATCCTCAGAACTCCCTGAACACAATGTGCTGCTTTGTGTCTATAATTCCAGAACCTGGGAGATGAAGGCTGGAGGATCAGAAGCTCAAGGTCATCCTTGCCAAGTTTGAAGCTAACCTGTGCTCTATGAGAGCCTGTCTCAAAATATTAAAAAAAAAGATAATAACAATAATAAATTATTTTAAAAACAATGAATGATTTATTATATAATAATAAATGTTTTGAAATATTAAAAAATAATAAGTGAACTATAAGACCCAGCAGTTCTTTTCCTAAATGTACACTCAAGAATTAAAGTTTTAACTCTACACAAAAAACTACCAAAGAACATCATAGGTCCCAAATTGGAGACAACCTAAATATCTATCTACTGATAATAGGGTAGATAAAAATGGTTTGTGTCCTGCTATGGTATACTGCTTAACAATAAAAAGGAATGAATCAGATATTCAATGGCTAAGGTGAGCTTTGAAAGTGTTATGCTAAATCAAGTCACAAAAGGCTACAGACTGCCTGATTCCATTTATATGATCAAGAACAGGCCAGTTCACAGAAGATGAGTGGATGCCTTGAGTGTGTGTGTGTGAGGGGCAGTGGGATGAGGCGTGACCACCAGTGGGTATGGAATCCCCTGGGGAGAGATGAAAATATAAAGTTAGATTGTGGCTATGGCTACTTAATGATCAACTTACTAAAATTGAAAGTTTTTCATGGAATATTGCTATCCACAGAAAGGGAAGTGGCACAGTAGTTTAGGAGGAAATTGAGGTCAAGAGAGTCTTAGAAGGTTTTTGAGACAAGATTCTGTGTAACCAGGGTGGCCTTGAACTCCTTATGTAGCAGAGTGTGATGTTTAGTTTTGATTCTTGACACATAGAATTACCTGGACTGGAGTTACCTTTAGGTATGACTGTGAGTGATTTTAACTGGGTGAATTGATATGGGATGACTCCATTTTATGGGATGGACCTTAGACTGAAAAGGAGACTGAGCTGACCACCAGCATGTGTGCATTAATCTATTGCTCTTGACTGTGGATGTGATGTGAGCAGCTGCTTCAGGTTCCTGCTGGCTTGACTTCCCTGTTATAATGGACAGTGGCCTGGAATTAGCCAAATAAACCCTTTCTTCCTCAATGCTTTTGCCAGGGTGTTTTCTTACAGCCACAGGAAACAAAACTAATGGGAATGAACTTCTGATCCTCCTGCCTTCAACTTCCAGGTGATGGGGACTATAGGTGTGCCTCACTCACATCGTCTGCCTAATACTTGTGTTTTCTTTAATTTTTATTTAAGATGTATGGGTGCTTTGCCTGCCTGCATGCCTGTGCACTACACTCACAGAGGCCAGATCCCCTAAAATTGAAGTTCCAGAGGTTGTGAGTCACTATGAGAGTGCTGGGAATCGAACTCAGGTCCTCTGAAAGAGAAGCCAGTGCTCTTAACTGCTGAGCCATCTCCCCAGCTCCAATACCTGTATTGTATGAAGACAGAACCTATGTTCCCAGGAAGAGTGCCCGGTGGAGGCGCAAAATCCATCACCCTTTATTGGGCCCTGTGACCCTAATTCTAAATGACAAGAAAAATGGGAAGAGGTGCTTGGAAGAAAATAAATAAAAAATTTATTATATCTTAATCACAGTACAAACATTAAATAGCAACAGGGAGAAAACAGGGACCTTCTAGCCGTGGTCCTACAAACACACACCCTGATCAATAAATTACCCCTCCCCAGAGACCCACAAGTCTTGAGTTCCAACACAGTCCATTGGCTATATTCCAATAATGCATTCCAAGAATCTTGGATGGCTGTCTCATTTCAAAGAGAAGGGAAACTGAGGCCAGGGAGCCCCCATGGAATTCGTGGCTCCTGCAGCTACCCTGCAGGACTCCTCTTGCCTCCCCTACCGCCCTCAGAGGGCATGTTCCTGGCCAGACTCACACCTGAACTCGATAGCCACCGCTCCGACGCCTGCAGAGCCTCCGCACAACCACCCAATAGAGAGTCAGCATTACCACCCAGTAGGCTACATAGGCGCCTGCTCCAGCAGCAAGGTGGTAGGCCTCAGCTGCCCGGGATGGGCCACTCCAGTCGGCCTGCGCTTCCTGGGCAACACTGCGGACCAGGCCTCCAAACAGCAGCAGAGCCCAGAGTGCCAGGGGTAGCACCGGAACATAGTTAGCAGCTAGCTTCTTCCGGCCTGAGGTGCCCCAGCCACTTTGATTCATGGTAACCAATGCCAGGAACTTGGCAGGCAGCAGGCCACACATGTAGAGCGGTGCATAGAGCGACAGCAGCACCATGCGGAGGCAGCCTCTTAGCCAGGCTGCAAAGGCCGCCTTAACCAGCGCCACACCCTGCACGCACAGCAGCACCCAGAGCAGAGCCCACGGGCGCCCAGCGTAGAAGAGCCGCAGCACTGTGGCAGCCACGAAGAAAGGGAAGAGGCCCGAGACCACCGCTTCATAGGTCATCCATGCATGGTGGCGGTGCCACCACAGGGCGTTGTACAGCCACTCGCGGAAGTAAGACTTGGACCAGCGGGTCTGTTGGCTCAGCCAGCGCAGGAAGGAAGAGGGCGTCTCCGAGTAGCATCTGGAGCGCGAGGTGTATCTGACAGGCACAGAGAAACAAGAGAAGACATCAGTGTGGTTCTCCCTGGGGCTTGGGCAGGAGCTTTAAATTTTAAGATCATTTCAGGGGCATGGATGTTTTGCTTGCATGTATGTACGTGTGCTTCATGTGTTCCTGGTGCCTAAGGAGGTTAGAAGAGGGCATCACAGCTCTTGGAACTGGAGTTATAGATGCTTATTACCCGTCATATGGGTGCTGGGAATTGGACCCAGGTCCTCTGCAAGAGCAGCCAGTGCTCTGAATTAGCTGAGCTACCTCTCTAGTCCAGTGAGCAGAATTTCGAAGCGACCACTTTGACTACTATTGGGTAAAGGGTTTTTTTGTTTGTATTTGTTTTCTGGTCGTTGTGGCAAATACCTGACGACAACAGGTAAAAGAAATAAGGGTTTTATTGTGGCTCATAGTTCAAAGTTAAAGTCTGGCCTGGGAGGGAAAGCATGCAGGCAGGAATACGAAGCAACTGATCACACTGAATCCATGGACAGGAAGCAGAGGGGAATGAATCCTGGGGTGTGTGTGGTGTGGGGGTGTGGGGGGTATGTGGTGTGTATGTGTGTGTGTGGTGTGGGGGT